TGTATTCCCTTCTGCAAAAGAAGCCAAATTCCAAAGGCTACAGATGTGTAATTCTTTTTGTAGGATATTCTGAAAAATGGAAAACTATACAGACTCATTACTCATTTTCAGGGTCTGTGAGTTCTGAGAAGTATTCAATGACAAACTGATGTTATTTATTACTATTTTCCCTCTTTTTATGTTGCAAGGTAACATATATAGAAAAGATTGCAAAATATATGTGCATCATTTAATAAGTTATTATCAAGTGTAAGTCTAGAGAAACACCCCCAAGTCACTGAAGAGAGCACTGCCAGCATCCTCCAGTGCTCCTGGGGGTGTCCCTTCCTGCTCTGAGTCCCATCCCTCTGCCAAGGGGAAACCTCCGTATTTTTGATCATCTATTCCTCATTTTTCTCTATAGTTTTATTATGCTATATATGTATCTTTTAATCATATAGTTTAGTGTTGCCTGTTATTTACTTTTATAGGGAGTGGGAATACACAAATATGTCCATTAGTTCTTTGCTTCTGTGCACTCTAACATCTGGCGAAGGTCAGTTTTGGAGTATCTTACATTTGGTATGGGGTCTGTTGCGGGATGTCTTACTCGTGGGGATGTAGAATAGCAAAGCGGTCTGGCTCCGGTCTGAAGAATACAGCTCTTCATAGTAGGGTAGGTGTTTTATTTTTTTCAGTGATCCCTTAGGAAACAGAAATTTCACCAGTTTTTTACTTAACTAGGTTAAAATACACATAACATAAAATTTACCATTTTCACCATTTTCACTGTTCCATTCAGTTAGTTTAGTATATTTTGCAGTGCCCTATGCAACCATCTCTAGACTTCTTTGGGCAAACTTTTTTTGGAAAATGATGTAACCATTAAACAACACCTCCTCTTTTCCCCCCACCCGGCCTCTGCAAACCAGCATTCTACTTGGTGTTTCTATGAGTTTAACTCTTTCAGATGCCTTATGTAAGTGGAATTACACAGTAGTTGTCTTTTTGTGACTGACTCATTTCATAGCATAATGCCCTAAAGGTTCGTCCATGTTGTGGCATATATCAGAATTTCATTCCTTTAAAGGCCAAATAATGTTCCCTTTTTAAGGCTAAATAATATACCAGAGTTCTTTTATCTATTTATCCATCAGTGGATGCTGGCATTGCTTCCACCTCTTGGCTCTCGTGAATAATGCTATGAACATAGGTGTGGATAGCTTTTCTCTGGAGCATCTGTTTATTATTCTTTTGGATATACTACCAGAAATGGGAATTCGCTCTGGTCATGTATGATAGTATGTTGTTTAATTTTTGAGAAACCACCATACTGTTTCCCAGCAGCTGTGCCATTTTACATTCCCATCAACCACACACAAGGTTTCCACTTTCTCCACGTTTTCACCAACATCACACTGGTTTTGTTGAACAAAGAAAATGTATTTTATTTCGCTTTTTGTGTTTTATTTTTATTTATTTTTAAATTGACAAAAATTATAGTGTACAGCATGATGCTTTGAAATATACATTCATTGTGGAATGGCTAAATCCGGCTAATTAAAATATGCATTACCTCACATACTTATCATTTTTTTGTGGCGAGAACCCTTAAAATCTACACCTCACATACTTATCAGTTTTCTGTGGCAAGAACACTTAAAATCTACTTTCTTAGCTATTTTCAAGTATACGATGCATTATTATTAACTATAGTCACCATGTTGTACAATAGATGTTTTGAACTTAATCCTCTTATCTCACTGAAATTCTGTATCCTTTGACCAACATCTCCCCAGTGCTCCCCTCTGCCCCAGCCCCTGATAACTACCATTCTACCCTCTGCTTATATAAATTCAACCTTTTTAGCATCCACACATAACAAGCGAGATTATGTAGTATTTGTCTTTCTGTGCCTGGCTTATTTCAGGCCGGCGCTCTTATAGGTTGAAGAGTTGGGCGAAGCGTTTTTTAGAGGCCATCCACACATGAACAAGGGGCGTAGGATTATGTTATACGTGTCTTCTGTGCCTGGCGCTATTGGTTCCATTAAGAATAATGTTACTGCCCAGATTCCGCAGCAGTGTGTGCCGCAGAATTATGAAGATTTCCTTTTTTTTTTTAACAAGGCGAATATATTCCCTACTATTCGTTGGTGTATCATAGTGTCAGCAGTCTTGTTATCTCTGGTGTCATCGGCCGAGAGGGGCACGTTAGGGTGATTCCAGGGCTTGGCTTGTGGATCAGTAATGCTGCAAGGAACTTAGAATGGTAGATATCCCTGTTTTGACATACTGAGATTTACTTCTGATAGTAGAGGGTCCAGTAGTGGGATTGCTGAATTATATGGTAGTTCTATTTTTAACTAAGAATTTTTTTTTTTTTTTTTTGAGACATACGTCTCGCTTTGTTGCCCAGGTCTAGAGTGAGGTTGGCCGTGGCATCAGTCCTACGCTCACAGCCAACTCAAACTCCTGGGCTCAAGCGATTTCCTCTCTGCATGGCGGTTGCGGTGGATTCCTGCGACCTCAGCCTTCTGTCGTTGACCGAGTACTGGACTCACAGGCCATGTCCCACCATGCCCAGCTAATTTTTTTGTGTGTGCTGTATATATATTAGTCTGGCCAATAATTTCTTTCTATTTATATAATTAGAGACGGGGTCCTCGCTCTTGCTTCCAGGCTGGTTTCGAACTCCTGACCTCCGAGCAAGTCCGCCCGCCTCGGCCTCCCATGATGCAGGATACAGGCGTTGAGCCACCACGCCCGGGCCAACAGCTGAATTTGTATTGATATGGAATATTTGTTGGGGTACGCAGTATTTAAGAGGTACATGTGATTGTCGTTACCTGAATAGATTATGTAACGATCAAGTCAGGGTATTTAAGATATCCATTACTTCAAGTATTTATCATTTCTATGTGTTTGGAACATTTCCAGTCCTCTCCTCTAGCTAACGTTTGAAATTATGC